TCTCTCTCTCTCTCTCTCTCTCTCTCTCTCTCTCTCTCTCTCGCTCTCTCTCTTATATTTCTTTCTCTATATTGCAGACACATGCACACACTCATGTACATGCTAGCATTCTTCATCACATCTACAAAATAACCACAAACAGACACTGGATAATGTGGTACACTAAAATAGAGTGATCAAATACCTATTGACAATAAAATAATACAGCATGAAATAAAAGGGCCAGATTTACCAGATCCATACTGGGTACCAATAGTACCATATATTATGAAAGGTAAAAACTAGATATAAATGAATGAGTTTTGAATTATGTTCTATGTTTTAGCAAAGTAGGACCTACTGTAATGAAGATGGTAGAGAGTTCCAAAGAATTAGACCCTAACTACATAATGCTCATCCCCCTCTCTTCTTCTTTGCATTAACTCTTTATAGAAGTCTGCTATCTAATGAATAGATGCTGCATAATAATTATTGTGTTTTCTTGTATTGTTATTGATTATAAATATTTGCATGTCTGTACTACAACTGTGTCCTCATACATCAAATATTCTTTCTTTTTGGAACAACTTGATTGGTAAAACAAGCTTGTAATTTGAAACACATCTTTTTTTATGAATTTAAAATGCTAATTTCTGCATTAAAAATATTTTCAATTGAAACTTTGTTGCAACAAAACAGGCCATATAAGTCTTCGACTTGTTAGAGATAAGATCTTACTGGATCGGTAACAACAAGAGATAAGTCGGATTTTAGGCAGGTCACAGCTGTGTACTTTTACTTTTTTATCTTACTTTTATTTTTTCATCCTCTGTTGCCGTTAAGCGTCGAGGGGAGATGCAGTTTTCTACGGTAGGCCAGCTTTGCAGCTCTTTCAATTGGGACTTTATAAGTTCTCAGGGTTTCCCTGACTCCTTCAACAATCAATCTTTTGTGTGGTCTAGCTCTTCCTTTGAAGCCTGAGTACTTGGTATTATGCGCTCTCGAGGCTGGCTGGCGAGGTGACATTTGTAACACAGCTGTGTACTATACTAGTCGATGTTTTACATCCCACTTGAACAATCTAGATCATGTACGAAGAGGCTACTCTGGGCTGATAGGGATACAATGTTCCAGCAGATTGAGGGAGATACTCAATAAGAAAAACAACTCCCCACGTGAGAATTGAACTAATGCATTCTGCTTGTGAAAGCAAAGAATGTAACATGCTACATCACTGATGCCAGAATCAGTGTTCCAGACAGCAGGACAATTTCTATGACAATGAGAAAAAGAAAGGTAGCTTTTAGGATCTTTCCATAGAAATTTGTTTCATATGAAGTTACTTAACTTACTTTTTCTCTTTTGATTTGTTTTTGGCAATAAATAATCCCCAGCCAACTTCACATAAAATTAAGTATACAAAAATTGGACACGAGAAAAAAACAAAAAACCACTGTTTCTCATGCTCACTCACCGGAGGGTTGAAAAGTCCACAGATAGAGTGTGGAATTGTCCGTCACTCACAAACAAATTTTCACTGACAACTGATGCCACAGTTTCTTGTCTATGCACGAGCATGATGTTCCCTCCAAAGATACCAACATACAGAAAACGGACCTATAAGAAAAGCCAAGGGACAAAAACTGGATGTAGGTAACTTTTATCTCTATATATCCTATCCTCTGAAGAGTTCATGAATACAAATACAGTACATCTAAATTGTAACCTCCCTTATCAAAACTACGGTATCCAGGATAAACAGTTTTAGTATAAAGACACACAAAGCCGCAAATAATGAAATACATCATTGACTTGAACCAAGAACTACCAAAAAACAAAATAGGTATGAAGCAGAAAAGAGAATAGACAAACCATGAACTGACTTCTTCATTTCAGGACATGACTTTAACATACCCTTTATATCTCAGAACATGGTTTTAATGTACACAGTGAACATAATAGTGACAACTTGGACTTTGTAAGGCCCAAGTGCAATCATAATTTTTCTGTAAGAATCTCCTGAGTTTCAAAATCTCAGGCATTCCTATACCCTGATCCATGGTAAGAAAGGCATTGATGATGATGATGATGATGTTCTCTGAGCAGCTATATTTAGAGCATTATAAAGGCAATAAGCAAATCTTGGTTTGAAAATAAGATATAAAAAGTTTGTTATGAACAAAATAAAGCATAAACAAAACACAATGACTATAATCCTAAAATCCCTTTTTTTTTTTTACATAACCAATGCAACAGTGCCCTGCCATCTTCATTCCTACCCTCTCTTGCTTTTGTACAGGTTTAATGTTTAATGTCATACTAAACATAAACAGGTGATTTTGCATTTTGCAAGCAAATCCTTCACTCTGGAGCGCTTAAGATAAACTTTGAGCTACATTAGACTCTTTGCAGACTGGCCTGAAGAAGAAAGAGACGGAAAAAAGCAGTAAATATGGAGAAAAGATGCCATCCCTGCGATAAACAAGTTGGAGCGTATGAGTGGCACCCAAACAGCCACAGAGATTCCCCCTCATTTGGAGGGACAGTGGATTATTTATATCACCTGCCTGCCATAATGTATACAACTCTTTCTTGTGAAAGAAAGCAAGATACATCTTTGAGAAAGCGGCGAAATTTTCTACAGGTAAGCTTAATAGTATCCACATTTTGCCTGGAATAGAAAAGATAGCAGTGACATTGAAAAAAAACTAGGAGGAGCAGCCCATGCTACAGTGTCCAGAAAGTACCCATAAAAAAGGATTTGGCCTGAATACAGAAATTAAACTCCAGTAAACACAAGACAACTTACATTGTCAACAGTGGAAATGTACAGCAAAATCCCTTGCATCTCCTTGGTGATAAACTGTATCTCCACTGACCTCAGAGCTGCGATATCATCATCAGCAGCTGCTAAAATGGCGTAGGACGAGGCACTCTCAAACCTGATACCTGGCACAACCTGTCAAAAAAAAGTACATACATGTAAATAGTTTGCGTATCATTACAATTTTATCATCTACATGGATATTTCTGTTTTTATTTTCGTCAAAAATAAAACCGTACTTGATACTTATAAGTCATCTCCAGCTAATGATGGAGACAATCAGCCTGCCCACACTGAAATGTACCCTCATGAAGAGGAGCGAGGAAGCATGGAGCATCCCGTCTTCCTAAGACCCCAGTTCTAGATTCATCAAATCGGAAGTCATCTCAAAGGTGAATTAGACCTTGTGGTTTGAGCAAAAAAGAAAGAAGGTAAAAAGATGAAAATCAGAGACAATTAACTAAAGGAAGTACCACTCGGGCATGGATGAGCATGTGTGCTATTTTATCAGGGATTGCACCACCCTCTGGGATGCAGTGGGTCAAGCTCTCCCTGAGAGAAAAACAAAATGCGGGATGGGGTAAGGAGAGAAGGGGCAATGAAAGCTGACACGTAACATAAGGACAACATCTAATGAGCTAAGTACTGCATCTGTATGCAGTACTTTGTCACTCTTGTAGGAGTAAAGAGTAATTTAGTAAAAAATATTGCTTGAGTAACGAAAATAGCCAAACAGTACACATTGCTGCCTTGATCACAGCAAAAAAACAAAACAAACAACAGTCACATTTAGTACAATAAATGAGAAGATGGAGTAAAAATTAGCCAGTTACTGTACACCGTTCTCACAATTGAAGATAGAAATACTCTACAACCTCTGCATTTTCTCCTAAGTCTTTCATTTCTTTTCAAAGTTGTTAAGCAGAGCTACTATTTCCCTTACGTCCTTTCTTATGCTCACTAACAGAATCAAACAATCATTCTGAGTCCCTCAATGCTTACAATTATCAAACACTTACATTTTCAAAGCATCCATCAGTAGTGACACCACTCAACTCCACAGCCTCATTGAAGCTTATTGGGATAGAGCCTGTGCTGGTAGTCATCACCAGATCTCTCAAACATCCCGCAAAATTTGAGCTTGATGCTTGGTATCTGTAATGAAATCAATTAAAAAAATTATCAAACTTATGTGGTTTGCTCTTTCTTTCCTATCTAACAATTAGCTTTATATCTCCCCCTTCTTTATTGTGTTTGTAACTCTCTTGTAACACCTCTAATCTTAAACATTTATAAGACCTAATTGTGTTGCAAGTGCCTTAAAACTCTTACTAAAACAAACAAACTTATGTGGGTTATATTATCTAAAAAATCTATGAAATGGTGATGGCTATTTCAGCCACATTTGTCTCTATTCATGCTCAGTGATCAATAAACCAGGCCTGTTCATTTTTTAATTTCAAATTCATAGCTATTTGCCTGATATCAGTTCTGGCTTGATTAGCTTGCTTGGTGCCCTTCAATCTATGGTTTACTGGGTGTCCCCCCAAAAAAGGACCAGTTTAAAGGGCAATAAATCGGTCATCTTTAGACCAGTTTCAATAAAAGTTTGAAGAAATAAAATTCAACTAGGGGGAATGTAGTATCCGTCAATATGAAAAAAAAGCCAATATGTTAGACAAATTATATCAAGTTACAAAAATTTCATCCAAAATTGAGCAAAATGCAAAACTTCGCAACTTCCTAAAAAATTAACCATATTGTTCTACTCCAAATAGTCACTATTTATGCATTGATGTATAAATGTATACAAAATTGATACTGCCAAACAGACTCAGGGAGGTGATAGCTATTCTGATATCCAGGTGTTGACCATTTATCTCCATATAAGCTCCAATACGTCACTGGAAATTTTGAATAACCCTGTGGCATGTTTCAACGTCAATTCTTTGGACATCTTGTTCAACAAAGTTTCAACTGTTTAATTGTTTGTGTGCTGTTTCCATAGACGCTGTCTGTCAATAAACCACAAAAGTAATAATTGAAGGGGCTCAAGTTCGGAGGAATGTGGTGAGCATTCATCTATAAACTTTCCACTGGAACTAGGCCTCTACAACATAATCCTTCCTCCCCTCCAAACTTCTCCAAAACTTTCTTAGCTTAGTAAGATAACCATCTGACGTGACTGTCGTGGTTTTATCATCCGTGTCCTGAAACCAGAATGGGCCGATCACGTCCCTGTAGCTAAATGCTTTAAAGAAGTGACATTTTTTTGTTTTATACAATTTTGGTTCAAATCTTTAAAACTTGATATTTCTCAAATACATTTCTTTATTTTCTTCATATTTACAAATTTGACGTCTCTGTAGTTGAATTTTATGTGCTTGAAGATTTGTTACAATAAATGCAGAGATGACCGAGTTATTGACCTTTAAGTGGGTCCTTTTTTCCAGAGATCAGTACTTATTAAATAACGAGAGTGGAAGACGAACTTGCTTTTCTAATCATTCATGTCAATGCGACTTTTATAACACTTGAAGTGTTACTTACTTTTTAAAAAATGAAAGGGGAGTCAATTCATATTTCAATGCCTCAAATAGCATCACCAGTAACAGGATATTTACAAACAAATTATTCTCCTTAAGTACCAAAGTGCTCTGAGAACAGATATATATATATATATATATATATATATATATATATATATATATATATATATATATATATATATATATATATAATTTTCTACAAAATAAAGCTTGGGGTCAACTTCCACCATGAAACAGTTGACCACCAGGAGGTCCACAGCATTAAACAACATGACATGAAAGAGTACTTTCCTCCAACCTCCAACACCACAGACCATTTACAACTTTCATAAAAAGGCTCAACAAAGCAACCAATGTACAAAAGTACAAACTTCAATACAGCATCAAGCAGAAGAATTTAAGTCCATGGCCATTGGATCAAAAATAACTAACAACAACAACAACAACATTACAACAGAAAAGACACATTAATAGTTGGGTTTTTTTGTGCCTACCCCTCAACTGAAGGGTCCTCACTTGAACCAAGTATCAAGTTTCGGCCATCAAGAGCAGAAAGGTCAACAAAACTTTTTTCTGTAGAGGTAAAATCTCGGTAACTTTGGTCTCCGTCCACATAAGTCACTGTCATCTTCAAAGATGTTGGATCGATTTCAGTCAGAACCTGAAAAAATGGTCAAACTGAAAAAAAAACCTTCTCCACTCACTTGCATTCCACATCACATGTTCTGAATAGAGAAATTTATATTTATTTAACAACATGGGTTACAATTTTACATAATTTTACTCTTCATGTTCCATATATACAACACAACAAACTTCACGAACAGAACAGTTCAATTTAAAAAAAAGCACTCTTAAGCTGCACACTGAGCCACCTGGATCAGAGCAACAGGTCTTCACTGTCGCAGCCTGTGCCACTAGAATTACTGTCAAAACTGTTTAAAATGACCACCTATTAATAAGGAGAAACCCGGCAGTCTCAGAGAGGAGGCCGTCTTACAGTCTTAATATAACGTAAAAAAACTGTAGGGAGGAAATGAGACGTGGCAGTTAATACAGGTGATTGTCTTATATGGGTGGCACTTAGAGCAAGTTCGACTGTATTTTCTTATTAATGAAACAAACCAAGGCATAGATTATTTGTAATATCATTTGCAATCTTCCACAGGTGAAGGTAAACAAATCTTTTTTTTCCCCTTTAAAAAAATAATTGATTTTTTAATTTTTTTTTGCAAGTTGAGGACATAAACCTGAATCAAGTCATCTTAGGAAATCTCCGACAACACCTGTACCAAAAGCAGCTGGGCCTTGTTTTAAGATTGATGCTCAAGAGCAGAAAATAATATAAAAGAGGATTTCTGCCACACATGAAAGTGAAGCCAATGTTATGACGATGATGAGAATTATGTTGAAGAGATAGTCACTGAAGCTTATCCCAACAACAGGATAGAAAAGCGTTTTAAACATTTTCAGCTTTGAAAGTAATCAAAGTCATAAACTGAGAGGTGTTTCTGTTTGTTCCCTTTTATCAAAAGCCAAGTCTAAATGCAAAGACATCATAGCCTTTGACATTCAAGAAGTGAAACTCTCCAAAAAGGAAATTTGAAAAAAAAAGTATAATATTTAATGCTCAATGACATGATTTTCATCAACTAATCTGAAAAACTTACTCGGATCCACACAGCAGTAGCATAAGTGTTCTGACTGGGCACGGTGTATATAATGCCATCCATCTGCACTTTCCATTCAATGCGCCCTCCAGTTATACTAATCGAGTAACTACTTTTCCCATCCTCAGAGCGCACCAGCAGGAGGGAAGTCTCAGTTTGGTATGAACGATACTCAAAGCTCACACTGCTCAGTTCATTAAAGCTCAGCGAGCCTGGAGGTTGAAGCACGAGGTAACTGAACCCACTGAAGGAAGCTCCAGGAATTGTAGGAAATGTCGGGAGAGTTGGGGGGGCCTGACAGCACGTGACCGACTGACCGGCGGCTAAGGCAGTGGTCCATAGACTAAACTGTTGACCTTGGTAGCTGAAGGCACTGACACAACCAGAGAAGTTTCGGTTCTCAACCTTGATTGTTTGCTGTGGAGGAAGAATGGAAAGTTGAGAAGAAACCCACAGGAAAAGCCATTGTTGTCAATGACAATGACAATGACAATGACAATCTTTATTCATCTCGCAGGGAGAAATTTGTCTTGGTCGTTAACAATGGCAGTTGACGTTACAAAAGTTAGAATTAAAGGAGCACTCACGCAGACGCACAACAAGACAGGACATTATGCCAAGTAAATACATGTCTCACGGGTTTCATTCTCTCTCTCTCTCTCTCTCTCTCTCTCTCTCTCTCTCTCTCTCTCTCTCTCTCTCTCTCTCTCTCTCTCTCTCTCTGTTTCATTTGTAGCACTGTGTGTTCAGTAACCTCACTGCAGTTGGTACGAATGAATTTCTATATCTGTCTGTTCTTGCTTTTTTGGAAATGTATCGCTTACTGCGGGTCGATAGTTGAAATTCCGATGTCAGTGGGTGGCTATGGTCACAAAGCATTATTTCCGCCTTTTTTTGAACGTTTGTCTTGAGCAGATATTCAAAGTTACTTAGGTCTCTACCAATTGTTCTTGATGCCTTTTTTATTAACTTATTGTGTGGGTGGGGGAGGGGGGGGGGGTTTGGCCTTCTGTTCTTTCTCACCAAAATCACATACAGCTTCAACTCCCTTGGTCTTTTTATTCATCTCACCTTCTACTTCAGTCTCTCAGGAGGCATACAAAGAGGTAACCTGCTTAATGCTCACACACTACTAGTCACATATTTTTGTCCTTACTGATTGCCAGGTACCTATTTGTAGGCTGCCTGAGAATTCATTGAATTACTCAGAGGACCTGGAAACTGAACCCAAGAGTTTATGATTGAGATGGGATGAGATGAGGTGAGATGACATGAGGTGAGATGAGATGAGGTGAGATGAGATGAGGTGAGACCAGACGTGACGAGATGAAAGACGAGATGATATGAGATGAAATGATAAGAGATGAGATCAATACTTTATTGTCCCCCTGGGACATTTTCTGCGGCTTTACAGGAATGGTAAAAACACCTCAACACTGTATTATCACAAGTTCTTTTTCCCATCCCTTACCTAAGATAGAAATTAATACCAACCCACAAGAGATTAGGCTATCAAGTAGCAAAGTAAACAAATGAGCCACTATATACAAGGTAAACATACTTGACAAGTATACTGCTAAAGTCTGTTACTGTTTTCTATACATATCATGACCGAACATTCCTTATTGACTATTATAACAACTCATGAAAATGTTCCTAGAAATTCACCATGAGATAATGTAGTTCTAGAATCACTCATCATGTTATCATTGGCACAAGGTGCAGCACTATAAACTTACCAGTGAATCTGGTATAGTTCCAACAAACAGGTTGGATGTGAGAACCATCGTCTTTGCATTGGACGCATCACGCCCCACAGAACTTTTGGATACAATCCCACCAGAGGACAATTGTTGAATGGTCAAATGGCCAGTTGTTGCATACCTGATGAGCAATAAGTAATATTTATATTGAGAGACAAAAGCACACTGACACAACAATGGTCATTTAATGCTGGGGAAAAAAGCAAGACAGACAGAAACAACAGAAAAAAAATGAGATGACTGAAACAGACAAAAAGTGAACAACAACAAGCATTTCTGACAATTTCATCCTCCTTACTTTAAAAAATCCTATATTATTTTGAAGTTTCCTTTGAGTTTTTTTCTTCTTCTTTGAGTAAAGAGAAGCAAATCGACACAATAATGGTCATTTAGTGCTGGGAAAAAGCAAGACAGACAGACAGAAACAACAGAAGGGAAGTAAAGAAGTAGGACCTACCATAGGTACCCTCCAACCACCCACCTTGATGTTTCCCATTACCTATCTATTCAAGACTTCTAAATAGTTTCTCAGGGGCTACCCCTGCCTCTTCTATTTTTCTAGAGAGAGCAAGATGCTCAAAGCCTTTACGTAGATTCAAGTGTCCTTGAAATTACATTCGCTTTAATAGAGTGCAGCCCACATAGGCTTCTTTTATATACTTGCTCGTTTGATTTCTTTTCCTTTCATGAAATTCTCAAAAGACTATTAAACAACTGCTTCCCTAGGAGCAATAAGTTCCATACCGAGAGGCATAGATACGCAGCCAGCAGTCAGCACACACTGCAGCAGGGTTGTCAACTCGCACAAGCTCTTGTCCTGCATTGAACTCAAAAAAGAAGTTATTCCCAGCCAGGCCCACTTCCAGCTCCACATCTGTAAAAATAAGACAAATATCAGGTACTTAGATAATAATTGCTAATAATAATAGCCAATGATTACATAAGTGAGAATTATTTTTTAAATAAGTTATACTTGTGAGAGAGAGAGAGAGAGAGAGAGAGAGAGAGAGAGAGAGAGAGAGAGAGAGAGAGAGAGAGAGAGAGAGAGGGAGAGAGGGAGGGAGGGAGAGAGGGAGGGAGGGAGGGGAGGGAGAGAGTGAAAGAGAGAGGTGGGAGGGAGGAAGAGAGATAGAGAGAGGCTATAGAACTTTCATATCAAAAAGGTTTGAAGATTTTTCTCAGATAAACTCTAGTTCACTCACTAGTGGCACTGTCTTCTGTGAAAAAAATCACGGCATCTGTAACATTTGCCGGCTTTCTCACATCCAAAACAATGTTATCGTATGCATGAGCGGTACTGGCGATTGGATTAGCCACTTGCACACCGGAGCTCTCATCGAGGCGCAAAGGTTGTCTCAACTGGCTCAACAGACTCTCTGCGTTCGCCAGTTTGTCCTCCAGAAGCTGAATCTTGTTAGATATTGCTTGTCTTGTTGTCGAGGTGCTCTCTCTCAAACCTCCTGCTCGGACTAGGTTGCTTTGAAGCTCGTCATGTTTGACTTGGTGTGCACTCACTGGGGGGAAAAAAATCCGTAGAGAGTGAAAACAGCTATGTGGCAATTTAGCTACAGGGCAGGATCCATATTGGGAGAGGATTTTTTTTAATAAGGGCTCTACTACAGATATATAAAAGTGAAGCTATCAAATTATTCATGAACTTGAAAATAGACTTTAATGATAGTGTGACCTAGACATTTATTTGGCTTCTCGACGATGGCTGAAATACTACTAATAATACTACTACTAGCACTAATAACAACAACAACAATAATAATAACAATAATAATAATAATAATGATAATAATAACAATTAAAATAATAATAGTATTAATAATACAGATCCCTTCATTAGCGCCCACTCCCTGGTGGCTTTAGGCACTTAAAAATGGTGTAATACAAACATTTTTGCTGCACTGAGGTTTGCAGCTCCTCCACCCTGGTTATCTGGCTCTCCATCAAGTCCAGCTCAGCAGTTTTCTGATTAAGCGTGTCATTCTGGGCGTCGGACGTTTCTATCACAGACTCTGCGGCAGACAGGGCAGCTGTCAACAAGCCCTCAGCTGACGTCATCCGAGACAGCAGGGCAGTGTCTGCAGACAAAACATAATAGGATTTTTGTTTCGTTATAAATGCAGTCAAATCTGTCAGAGATGACCACCCATTATCCAGATAAAATGGTTATATTAGACCTCTGTTTCTCATGGACAGTGTAATTATAATATGAAAATAAAATGCAAGGGGAAGAAGTTTTTGTTTTGATATATGAGCGCGCAAGACGCATAAAACATTTTCAGTTTGGTGGGAATTAGTTTTAAATTTTGCCCGCATTGCAGCTGAAGCCTACTCTTATCTATTTTGGAGATGAAAGCAAACGACAGAACACGATTAGAGAGCAGGAATGGAGGTGAAAGGAGAAATTTTAGAGAAGAAAGTTTTCCGTTGCTGTCAGGTTATGAACCCAGGACCTGTTGAATGAGAGGCAAAAACCATACTTCTAGACCACGAGATCCCCAAGGGAGAGAAGCAAAAAGATTGTTTGTACAGGTGATCGTCTTGGCCACCTGTCTAATTTGGCATGATATCACAGTTCTTCACAGCATGAGTGGAGAGTTAGTAACAGTTTTGTGTTAGTGCCGCAAAACGAGTTGACACAATATACAGGTTGAATGAAAAAGGGTGACAAAAGAAAAGTATTACAGTATTCATTAAGCTTCAGCACAGTCAAGGCAATATTGTACAATGTGTGCACTAAAGGATCAAAACTTCCCTTTTGAGAAAAACAAAGCTATATGAGAACAAACATTTGTATAGCCATACAAATTAGCTGTACAGAAACTTGTAACCTGCCTGTAATCTACAATTGATTGACACTCTTATGTATTTTCTGCACTATACAGAAAAATGGAGGCGCAAGGAAGCATGTGCTCTCTCTCTCTCTCCCTCTCTCTCTATCTATCTCTCTCTCTCACTCACTCACTCACTCATTCATTCACCCATCCACCCACCCAACCAATCACTCACTCACTCACAAACACACACACACACACACACACATACCAGGGCTTCATGAACACATACTCAAAACAAATGCATCTCAGTACCAGGAGTCATAAACAAATACACATACACACAAACATAGATGTGCACATCATTGGTGCTCTGATGGAATTTTACAGCCTGAATTTTGGTGAAAATCTTTTTTTTTGTACCAAAAGATTGCTGATACCTGTTACACAAAGAGTATAAACATTAAATCCAAATTCAAACTACAAATGCTTGAAAGCGAACTTCAAAGTCTGCATAAACCTCATTATCCACCACAATGACATAAGTGATCCATAGAATTTCACTAATGCGATACAGAGAGGATATAATGGAGCACTGGTCGAGTAACTCAGGTCAGTAAACCTCACCATCTTCCTCCGTGTGGTCACTTACTTTATCAGTTTCACTTGTTGTGTTAAGGGACAGAGAAATTTTCACCTGCACAAAACATAAAACAGTTCACTAGCCGGCCATTGGGACACATGAAACCACCCAGAGCATATTAAACATATTGTGTATTTTTAAAAACAACTCAAAGAAAGCGAGGATAAAATGGAGCAACCTAAAGCCATGTTTTGCTCTGTTCTAATATCACTAATTCCTTAGTGAGATTCATTGGAGCAGCGTTTGAGACGGAGAACCTTGTTGACCAAAGTATGTTTTGTTACTAACTCAGATGGTGTAAGTAAAACACATACTTCTTTGTAGGATTTTGTCAAAGGTCCATCACAGTACATAGACAGAATTTTACAGTCTAAGTAAAGACAGCTTTTACTTTCTCCCAGTAAAATTTTATTACTTTGAGTTTTAAAAGTTTCAATAGAGCACCGACTGCATATATTTCCAATGTACTCATAAATCCCCTAACAGTATCAAAACAACATGTATCAGGAAGACAACCTTTATACTGAGCGTTCAAAGTCTGTCCTGCAGTGGTGACAGAACTAAGCAGAGAGTCCACTGTTTCCCAGGAAGTTTCTTCACCATCCAGACGTTTGTTGGCTGCATCCAGAAGGTTCCCTAACACTGAGGATAGGACAAGAAAAGATACCAGATATCATGAGGTATGAAAAAATAAGATAAGATAAAATAAGGCAAAGCAAAGCGAGGCCAGGCAAGGCGAGGCAAGGTAAGGTTAGGTAAGGTAGTGTGAGGTAAGGTGAGATAAGTCGAGATAAGGAAAGGTAAGATAATGTAACTGCAAGGAGAAGTGAGACAAGTTGAGGTAAAGTAAGGTAAAATAGGTACGGTAAGGTAAGATAAAGTAATGCCGAGCGAGCTGAGGCCAGACAGGGCAAGGCAAAGTAAGGCAAGCCAAGAGAAGGTAAGGTACGGCAAGGTAAGGCAAGGCAATACAAGGCCAGGCAAGACCAGGCCAGGCAAGGCCAGGCAAGGCCAGGCAAGGCCAGGCAAGGCCAGGCAAGGCCAGGCAAGACCAGGCCAGGCAAGGCAAGGCCAGGCCAGGCAAGGCCAGGCAAGGCCAGGCAAGGCCAGGCAAGGCAAGGCAAGGCAAGGCAAGGCCAGGCAAGGCCAGGCAAGGCCAGGCAAGGCCAGGCAAGGCCAGGCAAGGCCAGGCAAGGCCAGGCAAGGCCAGGATTATTCTTTTCTGCTCTTTCAAGGAGAGAAAATGTCAGTGTGCTTCCATTTACTTGAAAGATAGCAGAGAGAGAAAGAGAGAGAGATGAACAAAAGGCTGTCTGCCCTATGTGACAAGTTTGGGAAAAGATGACAGGAAGTAAGTTTACACCTCCTAAACCTGACAGAGGGGCTAGAAAGCTTACTTAGTTTTAGTTTTAGTAAGAGCACTTGCAACACAATAAGGTCATATGAGCGCCAAAGATTAGAGGTGTTACTAGAGAGTAACAAACACAAAAAAGGAGGAGAGATAAGGATGACAGATGTTTGATAGGAAAGAAAGGAGCAAACCACACCAGAGCACCCACCAACCACCCATGCTTACTTAGTATTAGTTTCATGCATTGAAATAAGTGAAAAGAAAACACCAACCTTGAGGCTGGTAGTCAAGAGCCATAATTTCGCTAAGAAGGGCATCACTGTTGCTCCTCTCAGCAGTGTACTCCGTTTGCAGCCTGTCCATTTCTGGACCTGAAATGTCCTTCTTCACGTCTTCAATCAGCTGATTAGCTTCTGTCGCCATGGCAATAGAACCATCCAGATCAGTCACCACCATTTTGAAATTGTCAATAGCTTGAACAGCTTCAGTCCCATGAGGCGATATGCTTTGGTGTGCTCTGTGATAAAGGGTATCAGACACTTTTAATGACAGAAAAAGAGCCAAGAAATAAAAGTGTGTTAAAAACTTTAAAACAAAAACAACATCTTTGCAATACATTAATATATTCAGACTTTATTCCTTGATGTGTTAATGTTCTCACTAATTCATTGCTGAAATGTGAAAGGAAGGCTTATAAAATTCTATACGGTTATTAATGATTTTTCAATATTATCTTAACACCGGTTTCCTGGCCCAGAGGTAAAGCATTTGACAACCTGCAAAAACGGTATAAGCTCAATTCTCAGCTCTGACAGGCAGAATGTCATTTCTTCAGGTGCCTAATCTCCTCAATTCATTCAGTTGCAAATTGGTGCAAGGCTATCAGTTGATACAGAAAATGTGAATGACAATGGAATGCACTTCACAGGCTGCAGACATCCTATGTCCTTAGGGGTACTGGATTAAGGTCAATTAATTATAACCAACTGTCCTCATGTGTAAAGTCCTTTTCCTGTGTCATAGGGGACACACAACTTAAAATAAGCATATTATTATAAACTCTTATCTAAAATGCAAACTGACCTCTTCAGGGCTGCTAAATCCTCTTCCAGCCCAGCACTATGAGCTTCTGACTTGTTGATGGCGATCTCCACTCTGTCTATCAGAATAGGAAGGGCGGTGAGTAGCTCATCAAGTTTGTCTTTTCCAGTACCGTAGTTAGTGATGCCTGAAAGACAAAAGATTCGCAGAAATAATTTCATGTTTCAGAGGGGACAAGAATAAAAAGAAAAACATAATATTTTGAAACTCATTGTTGGAAAGACTTTTTAAATGCAAGAAAAAGAAATAGTGCAAACAAACAAGAAATAAATGAGTGTTTACAAAGTGAGTTTGTTCAAGCGCACATATGTTAACTGTGTATATGTGTTTGTGTATCCAAAAAAAAAGGAGAGAGAGAGAGAGAGAGAGAGAGAGAGAGAGAGAGAGAGAGAGAGAGAGAAAGAAAGAGAGGGAGAGAAGGAAAGAGAGAGAGAGACACACACACACAAACACACACACACACACACACACACACACACACACACACACAGACAGAGAGATAGAGAGACACAGAAAGATTAATTCATAATCTTTTTTAGCTTTAGTTTTAGTAGAGGTTTTACGGTGCTCGCAACTGCATAAGGTCATATGAGCGCCAGAAGATTAGAGGTGTTACAAGAGAGTAACAAACATAAAAAAGAAGAAGGGGAGATAAGGACGATAGATGTTTGATAGGAAAGAAGAAGCAAACCACACCAGAGCACCCGCCAACCACCCACATTCATAATCTTTAAAAAGAACCTGTTAATATCAAGCAGTCTAAGTACCATACTAAGCTCTTAAAAAAAACACAGAAGCAAATAGCAAAATAAGAACAGGAGCCTAACAGAAAAGGATTATTGTTTTTCTTTTGCTCTATAATACTGCTTGCATGCTCTATAGCATTCTCTATGTCTTTCACAACCATTATTACCCCAGCAGACCCTAGAACAAAGAGAAACCAAGAAACATTCTTGGTTTCCCAGGAAGCATTAAGTGCAAGCTGCGGAGGGCACGTGCTCCAACACTTGCAAACTGACAAGATCTTTCACTCTCTATAGCCGGATACCCATTCCCACATGAGGAAAATTCATGATAAGTGCCTTTCCTAGGGACACAACATCAGCTCCCTTACAGGAATCAAACCCATGACCTTACGGTTGAGAGTCTGAGAGCCTCACCACTGGGCCATGGATGCCACAAACTTACCATTAGGGAAGGGCAGGAAATCTTCTCCAGTCATTACAGTCATTGCTACCCCAGTGTAAATAGTTTCTGTGTTCCTGGCAGACGATTGCGCGCTGGTCAGATCAGAGAAAGCTTCAGAATTTCTGTTCTCGGCACTCAGAAGAATTTCATTCACAGCACTGATGAGGTCTTCAGCTTGAGACTTGTACAGCTGTGGGGAAAACAAAGGACAATATAATTGAGCAACACTGTGAAAACATACATCATGACAAATCGAAATCACATTTACGTCATTGATGTTTGTATCTTCTATTCTAACATTTGAAATAAGTTACATTTATAGTAATGTTCAGTCTTTACCTATGAGTGTGAAATTAGCTTATGTATAAAGTATTCCTGGTCGGGTCTGTTTAATCCCTTTTTCTGTATCTGAAAACTTCTACAGGACAAGTCTCCAAAGGCTTATTATTTCTATTCAATTACTTAAATTTAAAGGCAGAAGTCTTCGACCCATAAAGAAACAAGTACTTTTTTGTTTTTAGTCAGCACTTGCAACACAATTGGGTCATATAAGTGCTGAAAATTAGAGGTGTTGCAAGAGAGCAACAAACACAAAAAAAGAAGGAGGAGAGAGAAAGATGATGTTTTACTGGAAAGAAGGAGAAACCACACCAGATCACCTACCAACCACTCACAAAAACTGTTTACACCAATGGACCTATTTACAGTCTTGATTTAACTTGTGCAGTAACCCTTTCCAGACACATCCTTGATATATTCACCACAAAATCTTGTCCTCAAAGAGTTAAACTTTGTTTTTAATAATGCACAATATGAGGTAAATAAAGTTGAATTGTTTGGTTGACTGACTAAATTAGCAACACCATGAAATCTATTCATCCTTTTAAAAAGCTCTTTAAAGCAAAGAATGCTTCAAAATCACACCTCAAGGCGAACATAAACACAATCATAATGAGTTCAAATCTGTTATCAGTTATAAATATAATAGTTGCTACAATGAGATAGTAATAATAATAGTTTGGCCTATGATAATAATAGTAACAAAAATAAAAACAACAACAACAACAATAATAATAATAATAATAATAATAATAATAACAACAATAAAAAATACAAAATAGCACTCGTAAAGCACATATCTCCATTTGACAGCAAGCTTTATGCACTTTACACTATATTATATACTGTAGAGTGTTACCAGTCCTTCCGTGAGAGCATCATCAATGACAGATCCAGTGAATGTTGCCACATTGAGATTTGACATAGCATCTGCCAATCTTGCCGCCTCATTCTCAGACTCAGTAGTTACTGAACTCACTTCACCTCTCAGAGACGTGACTGCATTTGCCTGGAGACAATTGCAAAGGAAATAGCAAAAACAACAAAATTAAAAAGAGCAATGAAAAGAAAGTTTTTAGGACGCTTTTTATCCATATGAGTAAACATGGGCTTCAATGGCATATCTTACAGGATATGTGGATATTATTTATATACAAATTGTGTGTGTGTGTGTGTGTGTGTGTGTTGTGTGTGTGTGTGTGTGTGTGTGTGTGTGTGTTTGTGTGTGTGTGTGTGTGTGTGTGTGTGTGTTGTGTGTGTGGGGGTGTGGCATAAAACGACACAATCGGGCGCTTTAAAAAATAATAATAAATAGCATTCGTATAGCGCATATCCCCGCTCAACAGCAGGCTCTATGCGCTTTACACTATTTTATTACCCCAGCAGACCATAAAACACTCCAAAACATTCTCAGCTTCCCGGGAAGCATACAGTGCAAGCAGCTGATTAAGCGCTCAAACACTAACAAACTGACAAGATCTTTCACTGTCTATAGCCGGGTACCCATTCCCACCTGGGTGAAGTGAGGAAAATTTGTGTAAAGTGCCTTTCCCAAGGACGCAACGTTGGACCCCTGACGGGATTCGAACCCACGACCTTACGGTTGCGAGTCCGAGAGCCTGACCACTAGGCCACCGACGCCACACAAGTTTTAGGCATACAGAGTTATTGGTATAATCTCAAATCTTGTTCATTTGTCCTACTTTTGTCAGCTGTCTGAGTAGAAGTAGAAATATTTGTGACTGAAGTAGGTGGGGGTCACCTGGTGTCCGAGTTAAATTAACGAGAAAATGGCCTTCAGATTTTGTAATCTCCAAAGCTTGAGTGTCCTTGGAAACGGTAAATTTACATTTTTAAAGCCTCTGATCAACATTTTTCAGTAAAATTCACATAGAAATGTGTTTTGAAGAGGACAGAAAAATGTTGGTTTCTTTGATTTCATTATGTTGACAAGCGCCTGCTTTCACCAAGATTCCATACATACCACGAAATTTGCTTGTTAAAAAATGCATGATATCACCAAGATCAAATCTACCTAAAAGTTTCGGAACCTTATAATTTCTGGTCACTAAAGTGCTTTAGCTTTAGTAAACGTTTTACGGCACTTGCAACACAATAAGGTCATATAAGTGCCGAAAATTAGCGGTGTCACAAGAGAGTATAACAAACACAAAAAAGGAGGAGAGAGAAGGACAATAGATGTTTAACCCCTTCGTGACATAGGCTCAGTTCATGCTTCACTGAGCAAGGTTTTGAATCTCCAGGGACAAAGAGTACGGCTAGATTTAGTGATTGGTTGTCAATAATTATACCCGGTTTGTAAATACTACTATCTCTGAAAGGAAAAGATTTCTTTGTACAGAGAAAAATTGCTGAATGTGAATCTGCAATTAGTTTTATGAAGTGCACAGAATAAAAGCAGTATGGCGAATACAAGCTATGATGAACAGAGTTCATCATCATGGTCCTTGCGCCTTGCAAGGCATGACAAAAGCCGTATGTCAGAGCAACAGCTTGGCTACTTTGCCGAGACTGAAAGAATGACAAACAGCGTACCGTTTGTATTATAAGTCACAAAGGGATTATGAGGAAAGAAGAAGCAATCCACAACAGAACATCTGCCAACCACCCACAATACTGAAGTGCAGCACCCTATTCTTGATCACAGATTATCTTGCAAGATCACTTTCCAGTGATCACTATTTATGTCACTAACACTCAACCACTGGAACCTGCTCAAGAGTCCAGAATTTTTTTATAATCTCAGGCAAAAAACGTTGTGTCCATACCTCCCTGAAATATCTTGTTATAGGCCTACTTGCTGGGCAGAAAAAAGCTCAGGGACTTGCACTTCAACATTATTCAGAACAGCAGCTATGTTTGGGATTTTATCTTTATCAGACAGTGAGAGGTAGAGACAGAGCTAGACAGACAGAGAGTTTTGTTTATTATGAAAGCCAAGACTGCTTGCATTGCTCCTACGAATCAACCAGACACCAAGAGATAGACAAAGATAGACAGAGAGTCTTACTTGATATGAAAGCCTGAACTGTTTGAACTACTTCTAGAAAGTTAAACCACTCTGTAACAAAAGCCCAAAACACTTTGATCTTTCCACTGTATGATCATGAACATGCTTCTATCATTTATATTTCTTAGTTAGCTCACCTGGCTCTCAATCTGACCATTTACTTGTTCCCATTCACTGTTGTCCCGCACATCAGCAAGAAGCTGGCTTGTGCTTCTCAACTCTTCGTCCAAAGACAAAGTGATGGCACTGGAGCCTGCGGCCTGGTTCAGGTACTGCATAAAGACATAAAGTATCAATAAGTCAAAACAGCTGTCAGAAAAAACAAATCTGTACATGAAATTATCCTTTTCCAATGCCCCAACCTGCAAGACATCAGACCACTCATCACTGTGCAAACAAAATGACGCATTGCACTTTTGCTACTTTTGAGATACACGGATAAAAAGCTGTTTAACTAGACTATTTATCATCTAATAATGGTGAAACTTGCAATGAATGTTTTTTATTTTGTGACTGCCAGCGCATTTTTATTTTAGTTTCACCAAAAGATGGATACACTACCACTAACCAAAGTAAAAGGCAAGTTGCATTTTGGCACTACTCTGAGTTAAGCCATTTTGCTTGTGCAGTGACAAACTTTTTCCTCCAATTCTCAAATTGTGTACATAAAATCATGCTTTTCCAAAACCCCAACTGGCACAACATCTGACAACTTTTCATTCCCATTCCCAAAATCAGAACATAAAATCCTGTGTTTCCAAAGCGAGTTTCGACAACTTTTCCTACCCTTCCTCACATTGGCAAAGCCCCTTATACACTGATAAAGAACAACTTCAAAACCTTTAACATTACTGCAACATGACATTGAGCTAAATGAGTCAAGTGGCCGCTGAATTGATAACAATTGCTAAATCAAAGTAGAAGAAAAGTTTACAGTTTGGAATGCCTATCTAACTGAAAGCTTAAACAAATTCAGTTTTAATTCCTAGGTGCTGAGATGAAAAATAGGAATCACTAATAGAATTAACACTGAACTTGTTTAAGCTTTCAGTATCATTGCAGTAATATCCAACCCTCCTCTCTCCTTTGGTAGGTCTCTATAAAACAAATCAGAAAAGACTTAACCACCTACCTGAGAAGCGGACATGTTGTAAACACCCATATACTGGAGGAAGAAGGTCATCTGCTGCTCAAAATCAGTCAGGTTTCCAGCAAGGTTCACCGAGTCCTGCTCCATTGCGACATGTCTGGTGGCCTGTGCCTCACTTCGAACTTTTAGACTCCCAACTGACACCAACAGTGAATCAACCTAGAAGGATATCAAGAGATAAAGACATTGAACAAAATTTCAAACAAAAAGAGATTACTTTATCATTAACTCCTTACAATCGATAACAATATAATTAACTCCTTAAGCCCGTCAAGCCAAACCTAGCAGCTCAGAGTCGGAACCACTAGGCTAGTGACCCGCTGGCAGCAGCTTGAGCAAATACCTTCATATTAGTTTTCTGCAATTGCCAAAACAGGTCTCTCTACTGGGAGTTCTTTCATTGTTAACTATCAAAATAAGTCAGTTTGTTCTGATTTAATCTTCAATTTAATGACATATATGTTACTTTTAATTTTCGTACCAGGGCCACAGTATAGTGGGTTTATTTTCTAGGCAAGAGAAAAAAAACATTTCATTCTTTTAACAATTGTACCTACATAATGTACTTTTTTTTCTTTTTTTGGGGGGGTCTAAATTTAGAATTTAAATTTCGACAAAACTTTTCTTGAGGGCTTAGCACATTTTAGCACAATGAAATGCACCTTAGTTTCTGTCTGTGCAACACTGGTAGAGACAGACTGCTGGACGGTGGTGATGTTCTGGACAAGGTCATTGACGGATGTGACGCCACTCCCGGCCAGACCCAGACTGTTGAGACTGGACTCCAGCTGAGAAGTGAGCAAATGCAGCCTCTCGTCTTCCTCTTGGATGCCCAGGACTGCCAGAGCTGTGGCCTGAGTGCTCTCTGCTGAGGCCGCCAGTCGGTCGATGTTGTTCCCTATTGCTTTTGGGCACTGGCCGCATTCTGAGGAGGGGAGAGGGATAATATATGGAGAGAGACAGAGACAGAGAGAGAGAGAGAGAGAAGAGAGAGAGACAGAGACAGAGAGAGAGACAGGGAGAGACAGAGAGACAGAGTAACAGAGAGAGAGAGACAGACAGACAGAGACAGACAGACAGACAGAGACAGGGAGAGTGTGTGTATATTAGTTACTTTACGTTGTTCCTCTTGCTTTTGGATACTAGTCTCTTTCTGAGTGGGAGGAAAGATACATGAGTAATGATGATGATGATGACGATGATGGTGACGATGGTGATAACAATGGTGATGACAAATATGATGACGGTGGAGATGGAGGTTATAATTATAATAATGAAAACAAAGATGACAAATATAAAGAAGATGATGAGGAAAATGAAGATGTTAACAAAGAAAATAATAACACAAAGAAAAACAAAGATGATGATGACGATGACATCAATGATCCCATTAATTATGATAACAGCAACAATGATGTCAATACCGATAAAGATAACAGTAGTGATGATGCAATGAAAGAACTTTTTTGAAAAAAGATCATGACGATTATTAATATGTACCTGACGAAGCCCTAGGTTGGCGAAATGTTGAATGTATAAACATTTTTTAATCTTACAAGTCTCCACCGTTTTTTGTCTTTTTGCAGTATACAATGATGATGATGATGATGATGATGATGATGATGACGTTTCAACAAAACAAATTTCAATATTTTATATTTTTATATTATTTTTTCTGCAAATTAAGAAAGACTCTCCCTCCTACTCTGCTTTCCAAACAAGGATGATGATGATGATGATGATGATGATGATGATGATGATGATGATGATGATGATGATGATGATGATGATGATGACGACGATGATGATGATGATGATGAGTCACCTGTACAACCAGTAGCAGCAAAGTCCACATAAAACAGCAGACACTTGTCACACATTCGGCCACCTATCCCTGGCTGGCACTCACACTGACCATCGGTCTTGTTGCAGAAGGTACCGGGAACAGTGCCCACAGCATCACAAGCACAGGCTAGGTGCGGGGTGGGGGAGGGGGGGGGAAGAAGGGGTCTTGTTAGTTGGTTTGTTTATTTGTTTGCTCGTTTGTTTATTTGCTTGTTTGCTTGTGTAATGAAAAGTACATCGACACAATAGCAGCCATTTAGTGCAGGGAGTTAGATAGACAGACAGACAGACAGGAACTACAGAGAGAAAAAAAAGGAGTACTACCTATCAGTGGTGCCCTCCAACCACCCACAGGGGAAGGTGAAAAGTATATAATAGGAGAAACAAATCTGATTATTATATGAAATTTTCATAGAAAATCGTCTTTCAGATGTAAAGAATCTATACCTGTATTTCTCTGTAGGCCTGGAAGTGTGTGTGTGTGTGTGTGTGTGTGTGTGTGTGTGTGTGTGTGTGCATGTGTGTGTGTGTGTGTATGTGTGTGTGTGTGTGTGTGAGCATTTGCATGAAAGTGTACAAGTATGGATGATTGACAAGCCAGTGTGTGTGTGTGTGTGTGTGTGTGTGTGTGTGTGTGTGTGTGTGTGTGTGAGTGAGTAGGTGCGTGCGTGCATGTATGTGTGTGTGAGAGTGTGCTTGAGTGCAAAAGGAGTTTTGCAATCAAGACATACTGAAGTCATCCAGTTTGTGTAACAATTGACGTAGAAATACAATATCAACTTCAATAGTATGTATAACAAGAAACAAAAATTTTGAAAAATCAAACACCATACATAAACCTGCCAATACCACAATTCATCTCAAGTCTATAAGAACACAAGTTACCTTCGCAAGGTGCCAAAGGCAGTCCATAGAAGTCGTCCACACACTGGTCACACTGCAAACCTCCGGTGTTGGGCTTACAATTACACTGGCCTGTTGAAGCATCGCACTGAACATCCAGGCTGCCTGCCTCAACACACCCGCACAACTGGCATCCTGGAAACAAAGTCAGAGCACCATCTTAGAACTTCTCTTGAATTTAAATGCATACATTCTCTGGCGTTGACCAGATGACAAGGACATGTGGTTACTTGAGGGAGGCATTGCGCTGCCAAGAGCGAAATGCTTGCAGCTTAAGGGATTTGAAAATAACAACAACAAATGCATACATCTATTTATTCAGTATCTTGCCAGAAGGAACCCTGCTGTTTGTGGGTGGTTGTAGGGTGTTCTGGTGTGGTTTGCTCCTTCTTTCCTTTTAAACATCTACGGTCCTCATCTCTCCACCTTTTTTGTGTATGATGTTACTCTCTGGTTACACCTCTATTCTTCAGCACTTATAAAACCAAATGGTGTTGCAAGTGTTGTAAAACTCTTACTAAAACATCCAGCTGTTCTCATAAGAAACTGCAAGCCTCATCTATCCTTGGCCAGGCATGGACATCTTATGAAGTTAGCTACCAACCAAGCATTCACAGAGACAGTATAGTTGTTGAAATCTAAAGCCTTACAACAAAGGTCATTTTGAGGATAGAGAATGTAGTTGGCTGTAAGGATTCAGGGAGAGAATACGTATTCTAGAAAGGACTTAGCAAAGGATTTTGACTCCACAAAAACTTGATCCTTCACTTTCTGTTAGAACAGTTGCATCTTTAGCTAGTAGAGACAAAGAATACACTGCTTCACACTTAACACATGTTGCAGAAAATAAATTCAAAATTCAATTCTTCTGACAAATTGTCACCAACATCCCCTTTCACTTCTACTTATCCTACAGCAAATATCTAATCACAGAAACATAAAGCTGGTAAATGTTTCAAATGCATGCAAAGGTGACAACTGTTCTTCAACATTCTACTGTAATAATATAGTGTAAATAATAATAATTCTTTAATATAAAGGATAGACGAGGCTTGCAGTTTCTTTAATAAAAATAATAATATAGTGTAAAGCGCATAGAGCCTGCTGTTTTGCGGGGATATGCGCTTTACAAATGCTATCTATTATTATTATTATTATTATTATTATTACTGCTCCTTCTGCACCGCAATTGAAACATAGTTTCAACTACGATCACTTTAAACTTGTATTTTACAATGCCTCTGCATGGGCACACAAAACTACTACAACTGTCAATGCAAACAGGTAACAATATACTTAAGAAAGCGATCAAGAAGTAAGAAACCAATGTAATCTTATCAATGATAATACATAACAAGATGGACCACTCAGCCAAAAAAGTGTCCGCAGGAAGTATGCTCTTTGCTTCAGATGGCGCTGCAGTCTGTTTTGAAGCTCTCTTTCGTTTTTCCAGAAGAAGAATAGGAATAGCACCTCCTTGCGTGCGCAGATCGACTGCTGTTCATCAGCAGTTCGGGTACGTTCAGTGCGGAGTTTTAGTTTTTTTTATATTTTAATGACCTCTCGCCTTTCATTCTAAAGTCAAATTAAACAAAGAAAACCATCACCCTTTCCTCCGGAAGAGGTTTTTTGTCAGCGTAACCATTTTAAAAAAGCGTTCTTGCGAAATTTATCCCAAAACTTGCTAGTTTCACTTTGATTTTTTAAAACTCAAGTAGGGTAACTCTGTTCGCAAAGAGTGCGCTTTTGTGAAGAGGGCGCCACCAAATTTGGAGGACACTTTTTTAATTGGCTCAAAGAGAGAAGTGGCCCATCTTGTTATGTACTATCATTGATCTTATGTAAAAATGAAAGTTTTTATCACTGCATGGAGAAAAGTCTCATATATTCCAGTTCGACATAAATGTTGAAAAAGCATACTATGTAAACTGCTTACAGCTGAGTTAATCTTCAGGCAACTGGATCTTTTCAGTACCTCTGTGTTGATAATCTTGTCTTTCAGTATGTGAGCTATGCAGACAAGTTACTTCTAGCTATCTTTGAATAAAATTTGTAGATTTTCATCTGATGCCATTTTCTTCAAGTTTAATATTCCTTTATTTCTTAATTATAAATGGTACAAATTCCATCTATAGATTTGACATATCTATTTCAAAAGGATTAAAATCCAAGAAGTGACTCATTTTGTCGGTCCGCCTCACATATTATAACTAAAAGTACTAAACTATTAAACAATGAAATTGGTTGTTCCCATTTCCAATTACCCAGGAAATCGGTCACATTGTATCCCCAGTAGCCAAGGAGGCACTGGTCACAAGTTCTGCCCCCAACTCCAGCCACACAGGGACACTGACCGTCAACATCAGCACAGGTGGTTGAGGTGGACGTGGAAGGAAGACATTCACAGGCTGTACAGAAAGTTTTACATTTGAGTTTAAGGTGCATATAAAATTGTTCTTTTTCTTTTCCTCCTCCATATTTCTAAAATAATCATACAAAAATTGACAGCATGTTCTTCAACCCACAGCCAGATTGATTTCTAAAAAAACAATCAACTCGCCACTGGAAGCCCCAGGAGCCCCTAAATTCCCCTGTCTAAGACGGAAAATGTTTAAGACAGAATTTTTTCTGGCTCCCTTGAGATTCCGTCTTAAACAGGTTTGACTGTACTTGAGAAAATGTTATTTGCATATCACAATAGATGTATTAAGCTAAAAAACGTACACCTTCAATAACCAATGTACAAACTTCCCCTCCCCCCCAACCCCTGTACATTACACATGACATTAATCTATCTGTTTTAGCATGGAACATTTTTTTTTAACCCAAAAGTAAGTCTGAAACTAACAGTCAAAATAAACTGTAAAGATAACACATAAGACAAGCAATAAACAATTCATTGGAAACTAATGGTATCCATTAAAAATCACTGACCCTGGCAAGTCTGTAACGACGCATTTCCATAGAAGTCCACAATGCAGCGTTCACACCGATCTCCCTCTGTATTGTTAGAGCAGGCCTGGCAAACGCCTGTCACTTTATCACAAACATCTGCGTTTCCGTTACATTCACACTGAGAACATGTTCCACCGATAACTTCTGGGTTGCCAAAATACGATGCATCACACCTGTGTATGAGTTTTAGTAAGTTTTAGTAAGAGTTTTACGGCACTTGCAACACAATAAGATCGTATAAGTGCTGAAAAATATAGTAGAGGTGTTGAAAGAGAGTAACAAACACAAAAAGAAGGAGGACAGATATAGAAGATAAATATTTGATAGGAAAGAAGGAGCAAACCACACCAGAGCACCCGCCTACCACCCACATATACGAGTTTCAAACAAGGAAAGCTTTGTTACAAAATCTATAGCAATCCCATATACCACAAGAAGAAAACGACTTAAAAAACCTCTTTTTCAACTTTTACTTTCCACTCACCCAGCCCTAATGCCAATAATATCAGTATGCGCGTGCAACACAGACAGTATCGGTAGGAAAAATTTCGCTCTCGTGACCGAAAACACTACTTTTGTGTGAAGCAGACTATAGCCTAATTGGAAAAGTAACCATTTTTCGTTTAAAACAGACTATGACCAGAAGTGCAATTTGAACACACTTCCTTTCTTCGCTTTTTGATTACTTTTTGACTCTGTATATAGACCTTTTCCACCAAGTATTGCATAAAAACTGTGTCACATTTTGCCTTCAAATTCTTAGTACACACAAATAAAGGTTTGAATAAATGTGTATCAAATTTGGATAGGATATATTAAATTTAGTATTTTGTTCAATTGTTAAAAAAGTGGTGAAAATCTCAAGGGAGAGCTGACAACCTGGAAGTGTAAGCCTAGGGTTGAGTGAGCTTTTTAATGCCTCCACCGACATAATTAATTTAGATCAATTAGGAGGTGGGCTTTGATTCTGCCTGTCAAGGCCAACCTGAGCTGAGAAGGATAATATGACCCAAGAGAATGGCTGAGATACTCAATAGATATTCTCCCTACATGAGAGTGGAGCTCGGGTCTTCTGTGTGCAACAGCAAAGTGCTTAACTGCTATACCACAGACTCTGGTAAAAAGAAGATCAGAACGTTAATGAAAAAAGAGAACTTTAACCACCAGACATATTAACAGTTAAACATATCCAATATTTTGAATGAACTCTCCAAAGGAATTGGATTTTTAGTCAAATCAACATTATCATCAAAAAGATTTTTTTAAAGCAATTGATCTATATGGCTCTATCTACGTCTATAGCTAAAGAGAACAAACAAAACTAAAAGAGACTAGTTTGATAATTATTATCGTATTATTTCTACGCTTTGCAAATAAAATCTGTCGAAAAAAAACCCTCATAGCATAAGAATGTAAAAAAAAAACCCAAAACAATAGCATTACAGTTAGCTTCTACAAATGCTGGAAACCTAAGATAGAATGAAGCTATGTCGTGCATCACCCAACACGTAAAGAAAAGAGCCTTGTAATTGTGATAACTTTTCCTTACTCGTTGCAAAGTGGCCCAATGTATCCATCTCTACAGAAGTCACATACAATAGCAGTGCTGCCATCTGTCTGATTTTCTGTGCGACAAGAGGGGTTCTCCACTCGTGGCTCATAGCAGGGGCAGGGGGAGCAGTCAGTGCTGGTTCCTTGGGTTGCGTCGCCATAGAAACCAAGAGCACATTGTTCACAGGCATCACCTGGAAATTGGGATAAATATTGGAGAGAAGTTGTGCCAGTATAGAACTGCTAAAACAAACTAGCCTACATTTGCTTAACTAATAAATCCTTAAATTTTTAAACACATTTCAGAAACAAATGTGGAAGATTTCAGTTCCTTCATAAAATAAATTGAAACATTCACTCAAGTGGCACAAATGATATATATACAGGAACAGTGATATTTAAATGTCCAGAAAGGTAGAAAATTAGCCTTAGCAAAAATTCGCTTATGAAGATTTGCATTCTAAGCAGACAAGATTTTTACCAGTTGTATTGTCCAGGCAGTTGAGACAGACTCCAGTGTCAGGGTTGCACTCATTCGAATGTCCATTGCATTCACAAGGTACACATACGCCAAAGTACTCCGATGTGCTCACATTTTCTCTCCTGTAACCTGGGGCACACATCTGAAACAACAACAACAACAACCCTAGTCTGAGTTTTCTTACAGCCTAAGGCTATAAATCTTAAAACAGATCGGATAATGGCCCAGACATGTCAACAAAGCATAATGTAGTTGTGTCAGTAACTTTTCTCATTTTTATTTTTTCTTCCTTGTCTATGACTAATAGGATATTCATTGACAAAACTAGTTCCTGGCCACACCCTCTCTTGGCCCTGGGGAATGAGAATTTTATTAAAGAAAATAGGTTTACCAATCAAGTTTTAAGGCACTTGCAACACAGTTAGGTCATTTCAGTGCCAAAGTTTAGACGTGTTACAAGAGAGTAACAAAAACAAAAAATGAGGGAAGATAAGGGCGAGTGATGTTTGATAGGCGACAAGGAGCAAACCACACTAGGGCACCCACCAACCACTCACTTTACCTTGTTTCTACCCTTCACTTACAAAGCAGATCCTAAACATATTACAGTCCTTTATCAATGGTTGTCTGAGGAAGATCATGAAAATCCATTAGTCGGACACCAACAGAAAGAAGTATTATGGAGGCGAACCAAATAACAATCAATTGACCCTAAGATCAAAAAAAGAAAACGGCGATGAATTGGACACACTCTTAGGAAGCCAGCCAACAATGAGCAAAGACAAAGCCTTAGATGGAACCTCCAGGAGAAGAGAAAGAGAGGAAGGCCAAGATTTACTTGAAAGTCAGATCTAGAGGCAGATCTCGAGCATATGAGACACAGCTGGCAGGAGGTGGAGACAATTGCCCAGAACAGAGACAGGTGGAGAGCTCATCTTAGCAGCCTATACCCAATATCAGGGTGACAAAGGCAAATGAATGACCCATCAGTTATTTTACCTGGCACGAGTTCCCAGCATACTCAGCTCCACAAACACATTGCTCAACTCCAGGACTAAGGTTGCCTGTCTCACTCACGGTGTTGTACACAAGCCTGGAGATTCTGAAAGAGCACACAAGATACATCGCCACAAACTTCAGCACAATGAGAACAAACAAAAAGGGATTTTCTTCTAATCACAGACTAAATTCTTCCATTTCAAAACAGTCACATTCTATAAGAAAAAGATTCTTCCCATCATAATGAATAACATTTAGCATCATAACAGCCACATTCTCCCAGAAAAAGGTTCGAATTAAAGTATCACTGAAAAGAAGATGAAGCACATTTCATCAGAAAACCCACCAACCTCCTATTCCGCCTAAAAGCAGGGGGACTACTAACACAGTAAGGGTTCAACACCCTTTCCACACAGTAAGACAAGATAAGGGGGTCGACCTCAAATATAGCATATACCTCAAAAACAAGACAAAGCCAAGAGTATGGAGCGCTAAGAAAACTTCTCAACTAATTAAAGTTCTCTAAAGCTGAGGTGATGAGTCAAAACAAGGATTGCATGAATCACAAGTACAACATGACACCACCTGTGGCAATCATAATACGCTCAAAAGAAATATTCATATAAAAATGCTCAAACCAAGCAATGTTTTTGAGTGCTTACCGAGCTGTGTGTTTCCCTGAGGCAAATGAAGCCGGAACAAGCAAGGACTCTGGGGCTGCCAAAGCTTTCAGGAATTCTTTTCGAGATACAGAGGCTCCTGTTCCATCTACCAGCCACGATCTCTCTTCAAATGTAATGACCACAGATGTTTCTTCCTCTTGATTAAAGGTAGAGATGGAATGGCTTAAGACAGTCCCATAAGATGTTCTTAAAAATGCCTTGAGACCAGAGAAAGGCTGACCATCCACAATGACATATGTTATGCCAAACTCCATAAAAGACTGGTACACATCAACTAAATTAGTCAACAGCTCAGTGGGTACTTTCCAGTATAGGCTGGGCTGACCAGCATTTACATCAATGTCCAAAGAAATAGTCTGGTTTGGGGTTTGTTCTTGCTGAATGTCCATGTTGAAAGGGCTACCATCTTGTAATGTGATTGTGAGAGATGGGGTTGGGGTCTGGTTTACATCATCACTCAGTCTAACCAGGGGATAGGATTCCTAGAGAAAAGAATAAGCACAGGATACTGTTAAAGAACAAATTTTTAATTGTTTATTCACGTTTCATATCTATAGAATGATATGATGTGTTAAGTGCTTTTAATCAATAACATGTACGTATTTTCTTTTTTACAGAGCTTGCAACTGCATAAAGTCATGTGAGTGCATGGGAGACAGGTTGATTATTTTCATGAAAGTTTGTAACACGATATGTTTTACTTTGTGAGTTGAAATGGTTGAAGTCTAGTTGAAATGGTTGAAGTATCTAAAAATAGAAAAGGTAAAATTTAGAAATATAAGTCTAGATACAAAATTTGCAGTGAAGAAAAATAGAATCCCTTTTTGATTTACATGGGGGGGTGTAATACAAATTGAATTACGATAGACACTTTAGTGGAAAAAATACAGCCAAACAAAATGAGATATCAATTTGCAACAAAAAAACCTTTAAATTAAATAAAACAAAACATAGGTAACAATATCAAAATGTGATTAGATGACATCTAAAATTGAGTTCAGGTGAGCTTGGGTTTGGTGACGCTGGTAATAAATATAACCAGGCAAATATTATGAAACAAATGAAGATGATCATTACACTTACAGACAAATCGGAAACAGAGGAAGCAAAATAACACAACAGTATGCACAAATTGACACACAACAAGCTGAGGGAAGCAAGAGAGTGTGGGTGAGTGTGAGAGTGGGTTGTTGTGTAAGAAAGGTCAGCACAATAATGATTTCATAATGAAAAGATAAAGATAAAAGAAAGACTAAAAATAATAATAAGGAAACAATTTCATGAGAACACCAACTATTTGTATAAAGGATAAAGAGAAACATTAGAGAGTAAAATGTTCTAGTTTACTTTTAGTAATAGTTTTAAGGCACATGAAACACAATAAGGTCATGTAAGTGCCGAAGATTAGAGGCATTTCAAAAGTGTAACAAACCTCCTAAAAAAGGAGGAGAGATAAGGATGATAGATGTTTGATTGGAAAGAAGGAGCAAACCACACCAGAGCACCCACCAACCCACCACTGAGTGAGTGTGAGTTGAGTAAGACATGTCAGCACATTACTGACTTCATGATGAAAAGATTAAGATAAAAGAAAGACTAAAAATGATAAGAATGAAACAATTTCAAGAGAACACCTACTATTTGCATGAGGGATAAAGTAAAATATTAGAGAGTTGGAAAGGAAATACAGTATATACGTGACTGAAAAGGAGTCTATTTAACGAGAGTACTTGCCGGACTGAGCAGTATCCCAGCAGAAGTACATTCAGTGGTGATACCCATACAGATACACTCGAGGCAGCCGTTGACGTTATTCTCCGCAAGATCAAATGTACCAGCAAGACAAGAGTCACACTTAGCTCCTTGAGCATTAGCCTATATACAGGAAAGTCAACAAATCAGAGTTAAAACATGCAGCGGAGCTCCATTTATTTTCTCACAAAAATATTTTTAGATCAGTTTTTTATATGTCACTCATATCAAAAGTATATTATTCTCTTTTCACTTATTAAAAAATCCTGCATCTCGTCAAAACATCTCTCTGCCACTGAAGTTTCAAAACTTCGATACAGCTTTAGTCTTTATTTTCTACATTCTTCTACTTGGCCTCAGGAATAGTCGGTGCAGATTCTTCAGTCTACTGCAAAACTGATTTTTATGCACATGGCTGTTTTTCATATCAAAACCCATATCATATAAGGCCGGAACATGTAATTTTATAAAGATCACTTATTTCACAATTCTGACAAAACTTTTTTCAGTTTTGGGCAGGGACTTCATTATATATTCAAAGAGTCAGCGGCCTACAACATGCTTATTGTTCTTCAACTACCAACCATCAGGATGTCATAAAAGTGAATATTAAGTACCCACACAGTAAACCTGTCTTCTCGACACTTACTTTACACTCACACACTCCATCGGTTTTGTTACACACTGGCGTCACAGCTCCCGCTACACTGCAGCCACAAGGTATACAACCAACACTGTTGAGTCCATAAAATGCATCTTGGCACAATTCACACTTCACACCCTCAGCTCCATCTCTACATGAACAGACTCCAGTTGTGGCGTTACACTGCAGGCTCAGGGACCCAAAGGCATTGCAGTCACAGGGCTGGTGATGGGGAGAAAGTACACTTCTTTAAAGATATCAGATAAATTTCCTTAGAGTCCATTAACAGAACACCCAAGACATAAAAACTGAATTTGTGTGTTAGTAAGAGTTTTATGGCATTTGCTACATAAAAAGTTTATATTATATAAGTGCCGAAGATTAAAAGTATTGTAAGAGAGCAACAAAAACAAAAAAGAAGGGAGAAGAGATAAGGGCAAAAGATGTTTGTTAGGAAAGAAGGAGTAAACCACACCAGAGCACCCACCAACCAATCACTAAAAAGGCATGATACAGTAAACCAAATTCAAACGACCTGACAAGATAAGGGTAATGTAATATTTTGGACATATTAGGGTTAACAGTAGAAACCAGAAACCAATAAACACACCTCTCTTCCCATTCTCAATTACTACAAATCTTAAATCTTTAAGTTCAACTACAGTTCTACAAGGTTTTCTCACCAACCACAAAATTCTTCGCTCAAATCGTCAGTTAGCTGTTTAGATGTACTGAGCCCAAAATTTTGAAATTGTTTTATTACTGTTTTTTAAATCTAGAGTGTCAGTTGCATGTGCACAAGAAATATTTCATTAAAATTAAGATTCTCAATGTTGACAAAACACACCAAAAAAACCCATTTGTTAAAAGACTAAAACAATCGGGGTTTTTTCTCTGCTGAAAAGTTTTGCTTTCTGAGATTAGCCAAAGATAGTACAAGACAAGATGGGCCATTTCTCTCTTTGAGCCAATTAAAAAAGTGTCCTCAAAATTTGGTGGCGCCCTCTT